TATACTACCGAACGGCTCGTGCACTTGCGAGTATCACAAGTTGAGGATGCAACTGAATCCATTTTGGTGCAGCTGTATCTACGCAACATTTCATATCTGGGATGGAGCTTTTTGAGAGAGAGAGAGAGAGAGAGAGAGAGAGAGATGTGGATGTATGGATGAGTGACTTGAGTAGATTTTCCAGCAGCTTGACGATTGCTTGGTCGTGCTTTGGATGGTTGAAGATGACTTGTTGATGTTGAACCAAGATTGTGTGAGCTTGGAGTATGGGAGCTAAAGACCCACAAGTTTAGCAGTAACTGGCTTGGTGTTGGATATGTTTGAGTTTGGGTGTTGAAAATTTGTTGTTTGTGGCTATGGCTATGGGGATTTAAGAGTTCAAGAGAAGGAGGATGGGAGGAAAAGCTTGAGGCTTGAAGGATATGGTGTTTATAGCTTGGTAGAGTATGAGGAGAAAGGAAAGGCTTGGAGTTATGCTTGGTGAGAATTTATAGAGAAGATGATGGATTTCAAGGATGAGAAAGTAGGAGACATGGTTGTGATGGCTACTGGGAGCTTACAGCATCCGAGAGAATTGGTCGATGGTCGTTGGGATGCTTGCAGCAGCCAAAAATTGGAGGTTTGCTGGGGCTTGCTGAGCAGATTGTGGTATGGATGGTTACGAGTTTTCATGAGGCCCATTGATGAGCAGAGAAATGGAAGTTTTGGGTTACTTGGGAGCCCCGAAACTCAAGCCCATTTCTTGAGCCCAAATATGTGGGTAAGCATAAAAGAGAGAAAATAGCCCAATACTTTAGGAAAAATAGCCAAATGCTCTAGGAAATTAGCCTATTCCCTTAGTGAACTAGCCCATTACCTTAAAGAATGGCCCAAATGACCTATAAAATATCTAAAAGTCTCTAGCACATGGCTGGAGACAAAACAATGACAAAGCCAAAAGTTAACTATGTATGCAGGCTGCTGGGAATCTCCATCACATGGCTTAAGACAATTCCCAACACAAGCCATCCAAAAAACCAAAGGATACTTGAGCAAAACACCCTTCAAACCAGCATACGTGCCCATTTCTTCTCCCCACTAGATTTAGCCATGGAAGAGAGAAGAAAGAAGGAAAGGAGATGGCCGAAAATGGGAGTTCCCCACTGAGAGATTTTCACCAAATAGGATGAGTCAAAGGAAGAGAGGAGAAAGGAAAGGAAAGACTTAGCCAAATTGGATGGAAACCATTAGTGTTTCTTGGAAAGAAGGACCTTCCAGGGGCTATAAATGAGGCACCTCCTACCCAACAACCAACAACCACAACAAGAGAGCAAGCATCATCTCTCATCCTTGAAACCACATCCAGAGAGAGCAAGCTTCCCTCTCATCTTCAAAACCTAGCAATTTCATGCACTATTCATCCTTTTTCCCCATTTTCCCTCCTGGCATAACTGTTCCAGTTCTTGACAGAACCTTTGTCGAGCTGCCGGAAAATCACTTAATCCACCCATTGCCCTCTCCTTGTCTCCTTCTCCCTCTTTTCAGCCAAACCCTCATCAGATCCTCTCTTCCCTTGCCTTAAAAACTCTATTTCTCATAGGAAATCGCAGCTCTTTCTCTCTCTCTCATGCTAAACTCATGAATGCTCAGCTCCCATGCCACAAGCTTCTCTCGCCAAGCCAAGAATTTATCTATAAGCGACTGTTGGTTTCATTGGTGAAGAAGACCAAGGTGTTTCCTAAGGCTCAGCTACCCTTTCGAGACGCTCTTGGGGTCTGATCCTTGAACTCAAACTCAAGGGGCAATTTCATACATTTGGCTCTTTACAACAGCCCAGGCCCATCAGTAGCTGCCGGAACGAAAAAGCCCCTACAATGATTTGCTTCCATTTTTTAATTATGCAACAATTAGGTTTTGGAGGAGCTAAATTTTAATGAAAATTTCAAATTTCGGAAAATTGTCTTATAAGAAAGTACGAAAGTATGGAAAAGGTAAGAACAATTCCCTCTAGCTCATACTCACTTGTATATTATTCATTTTGGTTCTTACTATTTATATCATTCATCACCCATAATTGATAGGGTACAGTGCATAATAACAAACCCATAAATATTGTAAATACAATCATTAGTAATTATGGTAGCTATTATGGTTCTCATCCATAACCTTTGAATTTACAAAACTTCCCTATTCATCCACTATGTATGGAATATGCCTCGTTAAAAACCTTGCTAGTAAAACAAGGTGGGAAATAACCTAGACAAAGGGAAAAAGAGTATATGTCCACTTGTAATATAGAACATTCGACACTGCCTCATTAAAACCTTACCATGAAAATCTAGTGCGATAAAAACCTGAATGAAGGAAAAGGAGTATAGTGCGAAGGCCTCATTGATGGCATACTCTCCTTCATGCTAGCAAAGATCCTTGAATTGATGCATTCCAATATTGTTGACCATCTTTCTAGATGTTGTAGTTAGCAATGCTATAGTGAGTAACTCTGCAAAATTGTTGTTGGATTGTATTAGTTGAACATTTATCTCACCATTCTTCTGAAGCTCATGCATACTGAAATTTGTCACCTTGTATCCGTTTTTTATTTGTGCAATACAAAAGCATCGTTTTTAATTAAAGTCGTATATAGTAACGTTGAAGAATCTTTAATTTAAGACAACACATTAGTTTCTCGACTATGTTGTATCATTGATCTCAACAATATACATTAATTCCAAGCTTGAGGACCAAGTTTTCACATTTTTGCTCTCTTCTCCTTACTTATCCAAATTTAAAACTATTGGTGCTTCTGGGATGGCAAAGTGTAAACCAAATCCACACAATCTAATGCCATACCAGATCGAGCTCAAGCACAACTTGTTAAGGTTACTCAACAGTTTTGGCAAAATTATACAACCTATGACAAATCATATATATCAAGCTCAACCTTTGACAAATCATGACATAGAGAACCATCCTTCATACGGGTTTGCTCAAAAATTGACACGCAGATTCATTGTAAAATATGAGGTAGCCTACAAATAAAATGCGTCATCCATCCAACATAGAACATTGAATCCTCTCAGAAAGTTACGGTTCACAATAGACCAGAAAATGGAAGAAGGAAGAGGAAAAGGCAAAGAAAAAAACTTAACTGCCAAACCATTGTCGCAAGACATAAAAGAGGGTAGCAAAAACAACACCACCTCCCCAAGTCTACTACTTTTTTTAAGACTTGATTACAAAAACCATAAACATAAAACTGGAAGCTAGGAATCCCATATTAATTTCTGCTTCTTCTCCCCCCTTCCTCTTCTTTTTTTCTTTTTTTTTGTTTTGGTTCATAAAATCATGTGAGTTAGGTTTCTTGAAACTCTCACTTAGCCATCATCACCTTGACAAACTCCTCGTAATTTATCTGGCCATCACCATCAACATCAGCCTCACGAATCATCTCATCCACTTCCTCGTCAGTGAGCTTCTCCCCCAGATTTGTCATCACATGGCGCAGCTCAGCAGCAGAAATGAAGCCATTCTGATCCTTATCAAAAACTCTGAAAGCCTCTTTCAGCTCCTCCTCAGAGTCAGTGTCTTTCATCTTCCTAGCCATCAGGTTTAAGAACTCAGGAAAGTCAATGGTTCCATTACCATCAGCATCCACTTCATTAATCATGTCCTGGAGCTCTGCCTCAGTTGGGTTCTGCCCCAATGATCTCATCACAGTGCCGAGTTCCTTGGTAGTGATACAGCCTGCATATTAAAATTATTAGAAACAGCAATAAGTTGCTTCTTATGATTGGGGTATCATCCTTGGCCAGACCCCTACAGATTGCTTATGGAGGAAAACTACCGAAGAAGCTAAATTCTTACTATTATCATCTTTATTAGAGGAACACAACTAATGAAGCTAAATTCTCACTAGTATCGACTTTCTTATCTATTAAGCACAACAACAGAACACAAGATATGCAGATTCTGGGATGATAAGAAAAATTAGTGGCATTTCATATCCTTTGAGAAAGTGAAAATTAGTAAATTATACTGCCTTCTAGAATATAGCATGAGCATTTTAAAAGTTCACACAAGTTCATCTCGTAAACATATATAATCGTGAATGAAAAGAAAAACACCATCTAATGATGTACATTCTGTATGCAAAATTCCATTTTTACCACAATAGATACGAGTGTAAACACACATTGAAAGGCACGGAATCAGCCATTACCAACATATGTTCAAAAAACAGACCATGCCAATTGTAAGAGCTGCTTTAAAAATTCATAGCATCAACAATAATAAAACACCCAAGCATCCACAAGAGATGTATTAGCCCATTATTTACCTTTGTGTGAAAGAATAGAACATGGGAATTGTAAGAAAATAAATCACACTACAACACAAGCATAAACAATAGAATCCGACAATATGATACTTGAATCGCGTATTCAAGCACATAAATCCAAAAAATACAGCCACCTGCACAAGTTACATCTCCACAAGAAAAATACATATCCAACACAATAAATCTTAAATTTCCAATACAGGCTTTACTTACAGCTACAAACACTCTGTTATGCCACATCTATGCAACAAAGAAAAATTGATGGCTGGAGTTATTGCATGACAAAAATGATAACTAATTCAACGTCGTTGTAATTTTCACAGGTCTTTAAATAAATAATCACATCATAAAGATCAGGGATTAATTACCATTTTACAAATCACAACGCTCAACTCCAAACGTCTTTTCAAATTAAATCGCTCAACACGTAACATGAACAAAGCTAATGAATCCGCAAAACCAAATATCACGATTTAAAAGGAAAAAATTCAAAATCGATTATCCAAATTCCCCAGCAGAAAGTCAAATTAAAACGCAGAAAATATATACAACACGACCCAATACAAGACCTAACCCTAATTACAAAAAGAAGAACCAAAATCAGAAACACAAGACCTAGATCTGGCATAGATGAACGATCCATAACATGTAAATATGAATAATATGCAAATATTGGAAGGGAGATCTAAGTCTAACCATCGCCATCCTTGTCGAATAGGCTGAAGGCTTCCTTGAACTCAGAGATCTGATCGTCGGTCAGCTGATCCGCCATCGGTGCTTGTTTGTTTCCCGAGAATCCGAGATTGCGTTTTCGTTTCTCTTCGAAAACAAGAACACAAAAATTTGCGAGAAAAGAAACAGAGAGATTTTCTTTCGTTCAGACAAAAATGGGAAGAAGAGTGTCCTTTTTTATATCAGTCCAGCGCATCTGGCATCTCAACTTTACCAATTTAGCCCTCGACGCCTATCATCATTTGCTCTTTCGAAATGACTGTTTTGTCCATATCGCGACTCTTTTTCTAGCGACTTCTAAATTGAAATATGGAAACAGACGCGTCTAATAAATTTCACAATATTAAATTACCAAAAGAAAATGACAATATTATTACCAAAAAATTATGCGCTTATCAAAATAGTATTTTTGGTTCTTTCTTTTATTATTATAATATGATTTAGACTTGAAATGTTGTTTATATTTTAATATTTCTAGAGGTTTTTTTTAAGTAATATTTAGTATTATCCATATATATATATATATATATATACTGTAAAAGGTATAGAATGGTAAAACATTCAAAATACAAAAAATTACTCTTGATTAATGAATTTATTAAGAATTAGAATTTTCATTAAATACGGATATTATAGTAAATCAACAGTTTTTCATACTAAAAAAAATTAAAATAAGAACATGGGTCCTATTTTCATTGCATACAACAACCAAATTATTTTCACTCTCTTAATTCTAAAGTGAAAAAGAAAAAAGAATTGGCACACACTAGTTTAATAATTTATGTTGTTATATGATTGCCAAAAAAGAAAGAAAATAACTCAAAATAGTTTTTTTTTAATATTTAAAAATAACTAAAACTAGTTAAATGGGGGTCATTTGGACATATTGACAAATTAAGAAGGCAATTGATACACAAAAAAACAATTTCTTTTTCATTTTTTTTTTTTTTTTATACAAATGATTTTGAGATATGATAGTTTTTCTCACACACACTGTCAAGCTGTAATGAAGGTTTGAACCTGAGATTACTATTCTACAAGTCAAGGGCCTTTACACTGGGCTAGACTCCGTTGGCACAACAGTTTCTTTGTATATCATTTTAAACAAATCGTGTCATGATTTGCTTATAAAATTAACAAATTTGTTTATGTTTTTATATTTGGACCTGTTAAGTTTGTTCATATTTGGGTAAATCAAAAACTTCTCAAAGCAAGATGAAGAAATAGTCAATTTTTGTTGGATAGTTATGGTTTTGAATTAATTTTAAGGAGGCTCTTTTTATTATAGTTTTAAATTGGATTGAAATATAAATACAAAAAATATTTGAACTTATAATATCTCACTTGCTCATCACATTTGAATGCCACTTGAATTAGAGTTCATAAGCAATGCTTTTACCTTGATTCTTACAAAATATTTTGGTCCTTCTAGATGTACACTCATATTTAGTAAATAACCATATTGCAATTTTTTAATAGATAATACTTGTAAAATTAATTCAACGAGAATGAATTCAACTTGTTGGTAATACTTTTAACATACTTTTTTACAAGACTTACGGTGATTATGGGAGTTCAACTATTATATTAGGAGTTCTAATATTTATTTTAAAATATATAATTAATTTTAATTAGATATACAAGTAACATATATTGTTACCATTTTACATTTTTCTTTGAATACTACACTAAATTCATCAAATTGTACACATATGTTTTAACTCTTTTCGATGTCGACGAAGAACTCTCTTATCTTATGTGATTGTGTCCAATGAGGGGCATTTTAGGTAAGGTAAACTTGTGAGAAATTTTTCAGAATGGGCATAACCGTAAAAAAGAAAAAAGAGAAGGCAAAATAAGCAATTGCTCGAAAATTAAAATTTTAAATTTTGGAGCTGTGGAAAAATGATGAAAGATAGTGATGGCCCTTTACCATGTTGCCACGTGGCAGCCAAGATGACATGGAAAACTGCTGTCAAATCAGAGCCCATCGGATACAGTGAGTCTCCTGTGGTTCTGATTGTAGCCAAGTATAGGTCTTGGTCTATTTTTTCTAAGAATAACTTTACGCGTAGTGTGGTTGTTGTCGTTGTTAAGATTTTCTTTTCTGTTTTTTTTTTTTTTTTTAAAGGTTTCGAATTATGTGATTGCTACGCTTTATAATTTGACGCGGTTTCTACGCGTACGCGGAATGTGAGCTCATCCCCACACACGTTGACTGCCACGTAACCACACTTCCCCGGCCATCTTGAACTCTCTCTCTCTCAGCTCAGGGAACCTTATCGATTCTTTTCTTTTCCCTTTTTCTGTTTTTGTTTTTTCTTCGTTTAACTCAAAGAAAAAATAGAGCCATTGGTGGGGTTTTATCCGCCGCTTCTCATTTTCTCATTCTGTTTTCAAGCGATACAATAGCACAGCGCCACGTGTCACTTTCATATCTCATCTTAGTAAAACCTCTTATTTATAGGCTTACAATGATATGAAGATATTAAAAACTCATAAATTACAAGCTCATAACTATGATATTTAGTGCATATGTTACGTAGAATTAGAAAGGATGAATGCTAAAGGGTATGGTGGTTATCCACCAACTCATGTGTTTACAACAATCTCAAGAATTTTTTTAAATATTTTCTTATTCACTTCTAATAAACCACAAATCCAAATGCCAATGGGGTCATACTTAGTAGAAAAGTATGTTTAGCCTCAGACCAATGGCCTCAGATTCGAAATCCTTAGGCATCAGTGTATGTGAGTAAATTATTTGTTAATATTATGTTAACTCGCAATTGTACGAGGCAATTAGTCGTACCCACGAAGACTGAGAAGTTAAAACTAGTTATGTACTTAGATTACCAAATTCAAGAAAGTAGGAGGTTATGTCTAAAACAGAATTTAAAACAAGAGTGGTTGTGATTGTTGAACAAAAGAAGCAAAATGAAATTGCAAACAAAAGCAAAGTAAGTGTAACAAAGAGTGGTTTTAAGAGCTGAAAAACAGATTTGGAGACTAGGGCATTCGAATCACCATAACAATTCAATTCTGGGTTATAAGGAGTCAAGCAACAAGTCTAATTCATATTCAAATATTGATTCTAGCTAAAGTATGATTAGGCCATGGTGTCTGGTTCTAACCTTGTGTTCCTAATTCCCTAATTTAATCATCTGTTGTCTAACCTAAAATTAAGCATTAGGAACCCATTAAACATAGAAAAACAATTTAAACAACCAAGCATGTAGATAATCCCTATTGTCGAATGTCCATACATACTCTTCCTATTCATAGTTCAATTCGAATTAAAGCATGGTGTCTACTCTTAATTCAAACCATACAAGTTCTAATGGTGATCAATCATTCAAACAAGCATATTAACTGATAAGCATAACAAATAAGAACATGAATCATGAATCCAACTTGAAACTCAAAACTTCAAACTTATAAACCCAGAATATTCATGTTAGGTTACATCGAAGCCCTAGTTATGAAATTAGCTGCTCATAATAGAAAAGAAACTTAGATAGAAATGAGAAAACATAAGGAATGCAATAAGAGTAGAAAAATCCTTTTTCTGAAGTTCTTGTGGTGTCCAAGACTTCTTCAAGTGCTTCTCCACGTCTAATACTTCTCCAAGAGCTTCCCCACATCTAGAATGATGTATGACAACTAGTAGGTGATTTGGGATGAGTTTGGGTGAGTGGTGATGGCTGAGAAAGAGGAAATTCGTAGGGAAATGGAAGGGAGGCTTTTTGGAGCTGTTTTGGTGATTTATGGCAGTTTAGAGTATTGGGTTGTACCTAGAGTGTATGGGGTTGATGAGAGATGTTTTGAACCTTAAAGACTTCTCTATTTATAGGGCTAAGAGGGAGGAACATCATGATGAATTCCAACACCATCATTCCTCTTTTAATACAATCTATAACTCTCACTTCATCTTGTCTATGTTAGTGTGGTTGGAATCAATTCCATCTCATACTTCTTTTGTTACTGCACCTCAAGCTTTCTTCACATGGGTTTTCAAAGGTGTTCAATTGTGGCTGCCTTTTGCTGCCAACCCATGTGGTTTTCTTTTGGTTGATGGGTTGAGGCACATGGCTTAAAAGAGGTGACAAGGCTCAACAGCTGGCAACTGCAATCCTGAGCATGGTGTGCATTTTGATGGGTCCACGGATTGGGCTTGGCTTCATCAATTGATACGTTTGAGCAGTCCATCTTGCAGTTCAGAATCTCCTCTTTCCAACCACATATTAATTATGCCAATACAAGTTGGGAGGAGGAAGTTAAGGCGAAACAAATTGCTAACTCAGTTTGCTCGTTTTTGCACCATTTTGCATCTTTCCCTATCCAAAGCCACCATTGCTATCTAAGGTCCAATGAACTGAATCATAAACAGAAAAGGGATTAAAAGCACAAGGTTAACTCAATAACATAACCAAATCATAAGCTAGAGGGGTACAGAATGATATACAATTATGAATTGATCATTATTCCCCCACCCCTTCCTACCTTTGACCAAAAAAAAAAAAAACTAGAAATCCAAATTATCCCAATCAATTTCCAAAAAATTTCATAAATTTTTTCTGAAATTATAAAATATTTTTTAAGGACCTGAAAATATTTAGTGTCTCATAGCTTAATCTAGAAGGGGTCATTGGAAAACATCCTTTGGGATTATTGTCGAGGTTCTAAAAAAAAATAAAAATAAAAACCCACCTTATAGCACCACAATAGGGAAGCTAGAATTGTGCTTTTTAGGGATAAAATGTACAACTTGACTTGGCCCTTGATGAATTTGTTCAGAGCAACAACAATTACAAAAATGGCAAAAATAGGGGTCAATGTGGCTTGAGAAGAGAAGGAGAGGAAATTTTTTAAGTTGAAACTAATCCTTTGTTGAAAATGGCAAAAATAGGGGTTAATGTGTGGCCATCAAAAGTAATCCTTTATTGAAACTCATATTGTTTTGAAGTTGTGTTTTTGGCAAAGTTATTGGAGTTTGAATGGATTAGTGACCCAATTGGCCTCAAGTAGTCTAAATACGACTTAACTTGACACTTCAAAGCCAAATTTAAACTAAACCGTGCAAAACGAACAACATAAACTCTTGTGCCAAAAAAAGGATAAAGAACTTAAAAGGATTAAGTATTTTGAGGAAAACATATTCAAAACACAATTTGAAGGAATAGTAGTAGTGTACATGTTATAACATAACCA